TGACGGGAGCGCCGCGAGAGTGGCTTGGGAACATCACTGCTATCAATCTTGTCGTCGCGGTCCTCGTCCGTCAAGATTTTGTCATCAACGCCCTATATACCATCACCTGCAGCGTTCCCAAGTCCTGGCCCCTCTGGATCAGAACCAAATGTGCTCGCATCTTCCACCTTGGTGGCGTCCACAGCAGTGCCGCTTTTTGTTCAGCTTTGTGGCTATTGGCCGGCAACATCAGTGACATCGTGTGTATGTGCACTGGGACATGCAGGGAAGGCTGGGGTCAGCAGTCCGTTGCAAACAAAACAATATCGTGGATCCTGGCCGCCGGGTTTGCATTCATGATTTGCCTGGCTTATCCCCCAATACGGAAGTCCAACCATAATCTCTTTGAGCGCAGCCATCGCTTTACCGGCTGGACTATGCTGGGACTTTTCTGGGTCCAAACTGTCCTCACCGCCAATGATAGCAAGCCTGAGGACATGTCTCTGGGTGAAGCAGTAGCCAAGTCGCCCCCCATGTGGCTTTTGGTTGTCGCAACCATGAGCATCGCCATGTCATGGCTGTGGCTACGAAAGGTCCCTGTTGATGCCGAGGTCTTCTCCAACCACGCTGTCCGTCTACACTTTGATTATACAGTCCCTGTGAATGGGTCTTTTACCCGCCTATCCACCAACCCTCTAGTGGAGTGGCATTCATTCGCCACAGTGCCTGCCCCAACAGAAGAGAACGGAAGGCCAGCCGGTCACTCAGTTGTTGTATCCAACGCTGGTGACTGGACCAAAGCTTTGATCCAAAACCCCCCCAAACACCTCTGGATTCGTGGGGTTCCCACTTGTGGCGTAATGCGGATCGCAACTTGTTTCAACCGAGTTGTCCTCATTGGCACAGGCTCTGGTATTGGCCCGCTTCTCGGACACATTCAAGCTCCCAGCTGCCCTACTCAGCTGATCTGGTCAACACCAAAACCAGAGGAGACCTTTGGAAAGGCCCTCTGCGACACCATCCGTGAGAAGGTCCCCAATGCTGTGATCCATGACACCAGGACACAAGGACGGCCTGACCTTGTCAAGATGGGATACAATATGGCAAAGGGCTTCGGCGCAGAAGCTGTCATCATCATTGCCAACGAGAAGATCACAAAGAAGGTGGTCTACGGCCTCGAAACTCGAGGTATCCCCACGTATGGAGCCATCTGGGACAGCTAAACCTTGGTTGACTCACTCTATCACCCTGTCTCCTTTGTTGTCTATATCCATTTTTTTCGGCCTCGTGTTTGGAGGACTTGTGTGCAGCTGTCTCTCTCCTTTGAGGGAAGAATCATGTATGCTGCTGCTGGCGGGGCTACCACTTTCTCTATGAATGATTTCAGCAATGTAATGCCGTTCATTTTTAGGATCTATGTCTTGTTGTTATTGGGATATTGGGAGGACATTCATTTGCTTTTTACTCGCTCTTTTGTTTTTCTTTTGTATTTATATAGCCGTGGTGTTTGGAAAGGTATGGGATAGCGTATGGAATCGCATGGGATAAGCCACCCTCATTATGCGGAGATCGAATTGATATTTTTACTTTCTTCACCTGGAAGCAAGAAAAATTACCGAAAAGAAAATGTGATAGAACCCCGTGCACATCCTGGCTAGCCCTGAGGGTTTCCGTTAAAAGCCAGCAAGTTATCTGTTCCCTGAGGGATGCCTGTGAGAGTATTACTTGTGGCAAGTTCCCTAATGCGAGTGCACAAAGTGGCCGGGTTCGGAGTTTCTTCCAGTGCAGACAGATACGCAGCAAGACCGCATATGTGTGCAGAAGAAAATGACCCTCCGGAAAGAGTGGCCTTTTCAGTCTCATATGTAAGTATGCCGGTCGATCGGAGTCAGGAGGGAGGGGAAACTACTCACAGTACCGCCATTGAGATATGTTGTCAAAATAGATTGGCCTGGAGCGAAAATATCGACGACGGCTCCATAATTGGCCGATGACCTTCTTGCATCAAGCGAAGTACTCGCACTCGCAGTACATACAGATTTTTCCGAGCCAGGTGAGAAATTGCCGGCGTCCGTCGCACTGTTTCCCGCAGCGACGGCAACGAACTTGCCCTCGGTGACGAGCGCAGCAACAGCAGCATTCAGCGTAGCGGAGTATGAGCCACCGATGCTTAGATTCACAAAGACTCCGCGGGGACAGCTCCTTGCGGCGGCGTCCTGTGTGACATATGAAATACCCGAGAGGACTTGAGAAGTGGTACCAGAGCCAGACGCGTCGAGCACTTTGATTGCGAGGAGTGTTGTTTTCTTAGCAACACCATATGTAGTTCCGCCGATGACGCCAGCGACTGCGGTCCCATGGCCGTTTCCGTCAGTATTGTCACCAGCGAAGGAGACTGCCTGGATGGCTCGGCCATCAAAATCCTAAGAGAGAGTATTGTGTCAACAACCTGGCAGCTCGCTAGAGACGAAGGATCATGGGACGTACAGGATGGGAGACTTCGATTCCAGTATCTATCACGTAGGAACATGTGCCGGCTCCAGCACTTTCGTCGTAAACATATTTAGCGGCACCGTTCAGCCGACTGGAGATGCGAGCAAGGCCCCATGGCGAGCCAGGTTGCTCAACGTAAGCGGTTGCGCGTACAATCGAGTCTTGTTCGATATATTCAACCTATTCACGCCAAGACATCAGATTTCTTTTACCTGTAGTTTATTTTCCCTTCTCCATTGTCTTGTCTCCATCAAAATGGTAGAGTTGTTTCTCATGGTGGTGATGACTTACATCAGGATGTGCTCTCCAATTCTCCAGAGCGGCTGCATCAAGGGTACCAGCAAACCCTTTAAACCCTTCCAGGTAAGTATACTCGGTAAATTGATTCATGATTTCAAGGGTTTCTTCTACAGCCTCCTGGGCAGTTCCATCTTTAAACTTGACGATATATTTGTCAGGGCCTGCCAGGTCAGCGTTTTGGTGCGTGAAGAGAGGAGCGGGTTCGGTGCGCCGCGGTGGCGTGGCAAGAGTCAGTGGCAGAAGGGCCAACAAGGCTAAAAGTCTTTTCATTTTCAATTGTATTTGCTTTCTTTTTCACTTGGCCGATGTGTGGAAGATTGATGCTCGAAGGAGGGGGAGTCTTCCATTCTCTTTTTTGACACCGTTGGAGCAACGGGCCATGTTATATAGGGGAAGATTGAGCAGCAGTTCCATTTATCAATGTTCCTTTCATACATTTCAAGAAGCGTTGCAGCAGAGCTGAAGGGTGTTATACCACTACCTTCCTAAATAGGGTCGATGTGAGGCGACACTGGCGTCCATGACAGCTCATGCTAGGAATTGCTACAAAAGAATGTCTCGGTCACTTCGGAAATGGTCATCTCGAGAAGAATCGTATTGGTGAGGTTTTTATCAATGCATAGAGTTAGTTCTAAAGCTTTTCGGAGGTTCAACATCAAGCTCATGATCCAGAGCCATGGGGCAAGGGAGGAGTTGATGTGGCGGGGAGACGCGGTCGAGATGCAAGGAGACGTGAGAACCGGTCTGGAGGAACAAAAGTATGAGGTGATGGGGAAGTTGGCATGGCTGGAGCAAGATAACGCACTGTATATTGCTACATCGGTCAGCATGGCACTGGACCAATCGCTCTGGTAGCCAGAAAGGGAAGAGGGATGAGCACTGTGCAAGATACTCTGGGTCGATGGGCACTGGGTGGGAGTTGGGGAAATGCATCATGCTAGAGAATGGCGATCCGGTAGAGAAATGACCAGCCGGTTGAGAGATGAGTAATATTCCAGAGTTGGGAATTTCAGGCAGGCGCCATGCAGGCGTCTAACTTACTTCCTTCCTTCCTTCCTCCAGAGCAGGCTGCGATAAGGTTGAAGATGAAATCAGGACACGCCTCAACAATTTCCCCAATATCGCTGTCACCTCTCGGCCGTAATCGAGAGGCGCGTCTCCTCGGTCTTGGTTTTGCCGATGGCCCAGCTGGCAGAAGCAATTGACAATCTTATTCCTCGGGTAACACAACTCGAAATGAGGGCACCACAAAGCCCAGACCGGGCCACAAAGAATCCATTCAATTCAAGGTAGCTATCAATCCCCAGTCCATACCCTGGTCGCTTTTATACAGGGGTTCTAATTTATAATTACTCTCTATTAGCTCTAATTTTCCGTACCAATCCTCCTAAATATCTCGTCACACAGACACCCGGCGCAAGGCTGCTGGTACGACAGATATGGGCCTGGTAGTTGTTGTGCCTTTCTGGCTGGCCCACGGCGGGAAATTCCTCCTTCGGCAAGAAAGATGGCTGGTGATCGACGCCAGTCATCGGTAAACTATCCCAGTACAACGGTGTGCTTGCACCTTGGCTGGGGTTAGCGCGCATCTAAGCAAGCCCAGCCAGGCCTTTGGAAACCCTACTGCCATCCATCATCATACATACACACGGCTTGCCCAGGCCTGGCCCTGTACTACGTACATGGAAAACTCGGTCAGGAAGAAGTATCCGAGGCCCTTCACGTGGCGGGGAGACGATGCTTGCCAGGGAGTCGTGACCAGCATGTGAGGGGGCGACCAGGTCAAGGTTCTCCTCAAAACCGATGCCTCCCTCCGCACTTCAATTTGCGGGGTAGCAATTCTCGACCGAGGCACCGCAGTCATCTTTGTCTCCGGGCTGCGCCAGGATGACTGTACTGCGGAATAGCGCCATGCGATGGATCATTTGTTCTGACGTGGACCTCAGATATCAAGCAGCCTCCACCAATTACTGCCCGCGTAGCAGTGTGGATGCATATGATATGTAGAGTGATGTATCTGAATCTATATATCAAGACAAGCACACACCGATTCCCAACCTGTCCAGCTGAGCAGCCACTGTCGATCAGCACGGACAGTACGCCATTTTCTAGTTATTTATTCCGTTCTCTGAGATTCCTTATTTTCTAGTTCTTAATTCATCCGACCGATCAGAATCTCAAGTAAAGATAGACAAAGAAACTGCGTGCCAAAGACAAGAAGCGCCATCATGGTTTACACATACGGAAAGGAGCGTCCTATTCCAAATCTCGACCTCTTGTCACTTCTTTTTGGCAAGTTTCAATCATCTAACTATCTAGTGGATAAGCCATAGCTAATCTCGCCCATTTGCCCAACTTACAGAGTCCTCCTACTGTCGCGCCTATGAGAACACCCCGATCCACGCCGAAGCTAAGGATCCCAGTCGATTCATGACCAAGGCCCAAGCACGCATCCTCTCAAAAAACTTTGCATACTTCCTCCGACACAACTATGCCATCGGTGCCTCTGGCCCCGGAAAGGACGTCGTCGTGACCGTCTCCACTGGTCAGCATGCCCTCGCCTGCTTGTTTTACGGTGTCATTGCAGCCGATGGCGTCTATTCGGCCGCCTCCCCCTCGAGCATGGTCAAGGACCTTGAGAGGCAGATCAAGGACGGCCCCGGCAAGGTTCTTGTCTGCAGTCCTGACCTGAAGAAACTGGCTCTTGCCGCCGCTGAGGGCGCTGGCCTCCCCAAAAGAAACGTCCTCGTTCTGCAGAGTAGCCCCGAGATTAAGCTTGAGTCGGCTGATGGGCAGGTAGCTTGTGACTTCAAGGGCAGTCTGTCTTGGAGAAGGATATCCGACCCCGTCGAACTTGAAAAAAGTAAAATATGCATCCTTTACTCTTCCGGAACAACCGGTCTCCCCAAAGGTCAGTTTTGTCCCGTCACTCGATGACAAGTCGTCCATCCCCTACCGGGTTGGCTTGAAGCATTAAAACTAACAGCCGCATTTTGGGGACGTCTCAGGTGTGCTTATTTCACATCTGAACATGGTTGCCGAAGCATTCCTCCCAGGCGAACTTAGCAGGCCATCCTTTGACGAACAGGGACGCCAGGGTGACCCCTTTGACCGCCGAACCCTCGGCCACCTACCAACCGCCCACATTGCCGGTGTCCAGGGCTACTTTGTGAATCCTTTCTACGAGGGTGGGATCGTCTACTGGATGCCCTCCTTCAACTTCGAGGATTTCCTGCGCTACAGCAATGACCTCAAGATCAACGGCTTCTTCACGGTGCCTCCCATCTACATGGCCATCGCCAAGCACCCAGCCGTCAAGGACCAGTTCCGCTACGTGAAACTCGCAATCAGTGGTGCCGCGCCCCTTACAGGTGACCTACAGGAGGCCGCCAGGCGGAAGATGTCCATGCCGAATCCCATCACGCAGACGTGGGGGCTAAGCGAGACCACCGGCTCCGTTACTTATACCCCTCCCGATCGAAAGGTCATCCCAGGCAGCCTCGGGCCACTTCTCCCCAATGTTTCTCTCAGGTATATTAAATCTTCTATTTTATCCCTTCTCCAGCGATACCTCATCGGCCATCAAACAACTAACCCACTTTTGATAGACTGGTGGATGATGACGGCAATGATGTAGCCCCTGGTGAGCCAGGTGAAGCACTCATCAAGGGGCCCGTCGTCAGTCAGGGCTACCACAACAATCCAGAAGCAAACAAGAGTGGTTATGCTCCTGATGGGTGGCTCAAAACGGGCGACATCCTTCGGCTCAAGGACGATGAGCTCTACGTCGTCGACAGGAAAAAGGTACGGTGGATTTACTCCCTCCGCCCATCTCCCAAGAAACCACCCCGAAGAAAGCCAGACTAACTCTAGACCTTCACCAACTCAGGAACTCATCAAATACAAGGGCCTCCAAGTCGCCCCTGCAGAACTAGAAGGTCTCATCGCCTCCCACCCGGCCGTCCTCGACGCTGCCGTGATCGGCATTGCGCAAAACGGCACCGAGGTACCCCGTGCCTACGTGGTGCTCGCCCCGCCTGCCAAAGGCAAGGTGACTGAGGAGGCACTCGTCGAATACGTCCGATCAAAGGTTTCTGACTACAAGCGCCTGAGGGGCGGGCTTCGCTTCGTAGACGCCGTTCCGAGGAGCCCCTCTGGTAAGATCCTCAGAAAGGATGTCAGAGAGATGAGGAAGCTTGAGGAGCGTGACGCAAAGTTATAGCTTGCTCCATACTTCCTCTCGTCTTCCTCCTTAGCCGTCGTAGTCGCAGTGAACTTTAGCTATCGCCCAATGGCTTGGACTCCAACGAGATTGGAAGCTTCCTCTTACATTCTCAGTTCTGATGAGGGATTGAATCGCACAATTTACAAGCCAAATAGCAGATAGCCTTGTGATTGTTTTTTTCTAAACTAAATCTATACTTGTGTCTCATAAATTCGTCTCTTCGTGTATGAGTAACTCAATTAAATAAGAAACATTCTGCTCACAAATACAATGCTGAAAGAAATATTTGGTTCCATGCTCCCGATATCAAATCAATATTCCTATACTTTTGCAACGTTACACTTTCGATGGCTTCTTCCGCTCGGCGTCCCACTGTCGCTTAATTCCATTCTTCCATTCGACAAAATCTCGAACATCAAGGTCCCCGAAAAGCATCTGGCCTGTGTGCAATATCTTGTTCAAGGGTGGCACGCTGAACCAGTCGTGAGTAGATCTGCATACCACCTCATCGCCTCTAATATCCACCGCTGCGTTGTCTGTCCTGATCATCTTCACGCACCGAACACAAAATGAGTCAAGGCAGAATCGACAAAAGGAGAATTCTTCATGGTGCGGGATTGTTTCCAGACACTGGCCACAGCTCCGGTTGGAAGACTGGATGTCAGGCAATTTGGGTTCCGGGAACTCACGCGATTCAACAGGAGACACAGTGTCGGTGCGGATCGATTCTTGAGGGTTCACTTTCCGCATCGATACCGCCAGCGCTGTAGCACTCTCCACGTCATCAGCAGCAGTGAACAGCTTGACGAGGTTCTCTAGGGCGAACTGGTCGTTTCTAAGCTCGTCGTCCTCAAGAATCTCGCAACTCTCGACAATAAGCGCCCCAAGCAGCTTCTTTGCCTCTGCAGCTCTCCCCCTAAGGCGGTAAAAGAGAGAAAGGTATATGGCAGCCGTGTTCACGTCCGAACCAAGCATGCTAGCAGGCATATCAAGGTTTTGCTGCGCGCCCTGTCTATCTCGCACCGTTTCCAAGCGTTCGATCCACACATCGGCCCCCTGGCTTTTAATGCCTATGTGAAGCACCTTTTGCTTGTATAGAGAGGCCAGTCTCTGGAATGAGATGGCGTGTGCCTGGCGCGTGGGAACATTTCCACGAGGGCGGAACTCAACAAGGGAGATCCGCTCAAATATCTCAATAGCGCCGTCATTGTCACGCTTGAGCATCAATGTCGCACCTATGGCGAGACGCAAATAAAGCTCTTTGAGAGTGTTGCGGACCGCGTGAGCAGCCCCAATGGCCATATCGAATTTCTGAAATAGGAACTCGCTCTGATCTACCTTGCAGGCGGCTTTGGGAAGCCACTCCTGCACAAGAGGCATGTTGTATTCTGAAAGGAACAGATCCACCAACCGGCTTTGTTCGCGGCTGCGACTTGTTGCCCTCAGAGATAGGTCTTCGACGAGCTTCATCATATCAGCGTGTCTGTTCTCTACCGCCAATATCCTCAGATATGCAATAACAGCCTCGAAGCGCTCTGACTTTCTCAAGGTTACAATCTCTGCACTCTGAATGGCCTTTTCGAAATATCTCACCGACGCATTTACTTGGTCAGTAAGATAATAGCATTGAGCAATAACCAATTGATCCTTGTAAAGCCGCCATCTAGACTCCGCAAGGTGCTCAGCTGAGAGTTTTCCACCAGTAATTGCCTTGATTTCTGCTGCTTCGCACTCCAAGGAGAGATCGAGGGCCTTCTCGTATAGCTCGTCCTTGAAGAGGCAGAATGCCTTGCGTCCGCGCGATTCGACGCTGTTGCTATCCAGTTCCAGAGCCTTGTCATAGAAATACAGTGCTTTGTGGTGCTCTCCCGAGGTCAGGTACGAGCTTCCAATGCGTCTGTACCACTGGGCGTTTTTAGGTAAACCAGTCCATTCAGCAGCCTTGGCAATTCGGTCGGCGAGAGGGATGGAGGACCAACGACACTGGGAATCAGCCCAAGAGTACCCCTTATCCATGAAAGCGATTGTTTGAACAATCTTGAAGCAGAAATTTGCTGGGATATAGAGCTCGAAATCCGCTGCCAGCCACGCCTTCGCATAGAAGCGTCCAATGGCCTGGTAAATGCCGGTTGGGGTGTCCACGGCTTGCCGAGCCCAGTCCCGAGCCTTGGGCTCGAGGCCCGCCAAGACATCAGCGTCTCCCATCCACTGAAGAAGAACTCTGATGCTTTTGTCCGCAAGAACTTCCAGACCCTCGTCATTCTCTTCGTACATGATAGTCCATTCGTATATCATTTGCTCATCTGTGAGCATCTTATACAATTGGGGTCCAATCTCTTTCTTATCCTCCCGGCTAACCTTTGAGAGGTCAATAGCTTCCAAATGCTCCTGCCAGTACCACGCCGCATATTGCTTGATACCCTTCCTACGGTATCTTAGTTTCTGCTCATTGAACCATTTCTTGTCGCTGAATATGCGTATGCAAGTCTTCAACACGTGCATCTTAGCGTCGATGGGAGGAAAGCCGACGGTCACAACCTCGTTCTCGTGCCTGATAGTAGTCGTAGTATCGTGATCCCGGAAAAATTCTCGCAAGGAGGTATGGAAGAGGTTGACAGTAGTTGTTGCCTTGTTCGATCTAAATTCCAGTTCCTGGGTCTCAAAAGCTAAGGCTCGCAAGCCTGGACTTCTTGATGGGCTGAATGCACGGTCAGGTGGGCTGGTTCCCAGGGAACTAGGACTCGTCTGACGCCTTTGGCTGTTGATCAACTTTTGCGCCGGATGTACCCGGCGACTAGGACTGTCTTTCCCGGCAGAGCTGGACCTTCTCGATCGGTCACCTGGTGTTGACCCTTGGCTCCTGGCTCGGTGGTGCGTCCGTTCATGATCCTTGATGAGATCATCTGTGGTGAGGCCATCTTCTCTCTGTAGATCGAAAAAGCATGCATATTGCCCCCGCAACAACTCTTCGAATCGGAATGGTAAGTCGCCGTACTGCATGATCAAGGCTGCTTCAAGCTGCTCGAGCGTCAAAGCTTGCTCAGCGCAGGATACCCACATCAGCATTTCGTTTAGGTCAGTTGCCTCCTCATCAGACATTGTTGAGGCGAGATCCGAGAGTGTTTTCTGGAGAATACCATTAATCTCTCGTGGGTAGGTCTTAAGAGACTTGAGTATCGAACTTGGGCGTCGCGCTCGATTCACATCTGCCAACATTAACTTTGCAAGAATGAATAAGCCGTCCACACGTTTAACCATCTCATCAACGATTTCTTTCCTAAACTCCGGCGTACTCCGACTAAGAATTCTCGAGTTGGAAATTTCGTATTCGATAAAAGCCCCGACATCCTTGGCATTCCGCTCAGGCGTAACAAGAGTGGTGGAGACTTGATCACTTTTCTCATCTGGGTCGAGAAATTGAGTTACCTGTTCCGACATATATGATCTGCCTATCAGAGCCAGATGAACCTTGGACAGGCCATTCGATTGTTGCTCGTCCGATTCCGGCGTTAGAAGACTCAGGAACTCTTCCATTTCCGAAGTGTCTGCTTCGTCGATTCCGTCCAAAAATACGTAAAAGTTTCGACCGCGCTTGTCCTTTTCGAATGGTTCAACGAAAAGTCGTCGGTATGCACTCGAGAGTGTCTTGATGTCATCGCCACTGTGTAGGTTGCGAACTATCTGTTTTCCATAGTAGGCGTCGCTCTCACTCAACTGATAAGCAACATCTCGAAGGGCTTGCAGGACCGATCGTGTTTCAGGGTCGTTTGCTCGGAAGTAAAAGTATCCAACATGCTGTAAATCATCTGTGGCCCGAGATATCAGGCGTGTAGCCAAGAAAGACTTGCCCGTTCCTAATTGCAAGAAATGGTCAGGAAACGACATTCACAAATTGAAGTCACAGAAGACTCACCAGCACCACCAGATATCCACAAATACTTGGTTTGACCACTAAACCAGGATTTCACGCCTTCATCCTTAAGGAGCCATTCGCCTGTGCCCCTGACTATCGACTTTGTGAACAAGGAGTAGTAATCTTCGGGAAATGGTGAAGGCCCTAGTATGTCTCTGAGCTTATCCTGCTGCGCTAGAGTCGTTCTTTCTCGGTATTCGGACCGAAGACTCTGCACATTCTCATTCACTTCGTTTACGAGGTTTTCAACTCGGTCTGTGGTTAGACCCATGCGTTTGGTGTCCTTGTAAATCTCCGCTTGGACATGCAAAGCTTCGGTTTGGGTCAAATTTTTCAGATTCTCCAACGCAGGCTGCACAGGACTGCCTGCTCCGAACAAGCCCTTGAAGTAGGCTTTGACACGGCCGCGTTTGATTTCCTTGGTAGAGAGGACCAGAACCTGGAATAAAGACGCCAGGATAGCGACCACATGACCTCGGAGTGCCACAGACATTTCTGATTGGAGGTAGAGCTCGAGGCGCAAAGTGAAACCCTATTGATTGTGTCAGCAGTCAATTTGACCTTGGCTTGATTCACTTGCTTCATATCTTCCTACGCAACTAAGCATAAGATGGGCGGGCTACATACCTTGAGGTTCTCGAAAAGCTCTACAATCTTGTCGTACATGGACGAGACATTGTTCGCAGCGTTGATCAAGTACGCAACAGCGGAGAAGACTGTTTGGACAGGAGGGTACGTCTCTGAAAGCGCTCCTCCAACGACCTCTCCAATGACCTGAACAGGCTCGAGCATGGCACTCAGAGCGCCAAAGATGTGATGCCGCTTCTCGCGGAAGGAGGAGAACTTGTCGTTCTGCGTGACCAGTTGAGTTTTGAGCTCGTCGATCGATTTCATTGGCGGTTTAAGAAACTCCTCGAGGCTTTGCCCCGAGGATTCCTGGTACTGTTTGGCAGCATCGACGAGCACGGCAGCAAACTGGTCCTCGACGGATGCATGAGGCGTGGGGCTGTATTTTGGCGGTTCGCCTTGCGGACTATATTTTGGTGGTTCGCCCATTCTGAACTGTGCTTCTTGTGCCTGTCTAGGCTATACAAGCTAGGTAAAGACAGACCAAATTAAAATACGCAACAGCAAGAGACAGAGGAGGGTATCCAAGACGAGCAGCGGCCGACGCCCAGAGTTTTATACGAAAGGACGCGAATTCGATCTGAGCCTGTGGTATACGTAGCCCCTCCAAGCACAGGGCACAACGACGGGATGAGGCCGTTTGATAGGCCCAAGAGCATGGGGATTTTCGCCGCTGCAGCTTGACTAATAATATTTGATGAGCGGACGCAACTGGAGGGAGGGGTTCAGGATGCATCGTCGTGGGGCGGAGGGGAACAGGCAGCGGACTCGTGACAGGGACAAGGGCTTGCTGATTGGTGACTGGACGACCTTAGGGCTGCATATCGTCTCAGGGCGACGAAGCCGACAAACAACCCCCTACATAGCCACAGGGGGGTCGGTGGACAGAATAAAGTCGGGCGTTGGGCGCTGGCCTTTGGGAGAATGGGTGGGGTTAGGCACAGACGATGATTGCGGCTCAAAATAGAAGCGTCTGGATGCTGGAGTTGGGAGGACTTTGTGTTCGCGTGATGCGGTGAGACGGGTGTGGATATGTAAGGTAAGGCATCGACGGTTTTAGTTGGCGGTAGTACTTGCCAAAACCTGGGGTTTGTGTGCCGTGCAAGTCATAACTACCCTGAAGCCAGCAGACAAGGTATGCATAAACATAGAGAACAGTATATAGGACGCCTGGTATACATCTAGCCACCGCCAAAAGGACCCAGATGTCCTCCTGACTCACTCTTCACAGCCTTGTGGCAGAAGGCCTCCTCTCTCTTACCTCCCCGTCGCTGGAAATACATGTGGCGTGAATGTGAGGCATCTTATGTTGGAGGGGTGTTACAGCTGCTCCCGGCACGGCCCGCTGAAATTAGGTGCTCCTGGGACCAACAAACTCTGCTAAAACGAGCGCCGCCTTCAGCCTGCTCTAATAATATACCTGTACGGTACGTGGTAGTATTGTTATGTACGTCTACATTACCGAAATACAGCCAATTTTATTGCTGACTGCCGGCAGTGTTGGCGCCAAAAATCTTCAATTGTCTGACCAACGATCAGAGTGCCGAAAATACCCTGCCATGATGCGTTATCCCTTGTTGACGCAGATCGGTTGAGTCAGCTCCTCGAAGTCCCACCAAAGAACTGTCCTTCAAGTCACGAGTTGTGACTGAACCCGCGCATACCGTCATCGCCTTGCCCGATAGTAGCGCATTGATGATGGATGATGTGGACTATTTTCTGCAAACTGTCCATGCTGATTACAGGACTTGGGTCCAGAGTGTCATAGTGTCAGCCCTCCCTCTTCACCAGCAGGCAGCCACTATGCGATGATCGAGGAGGCGTCTTCCGTCAGTGCTGGCGTCATCAATACTACCCAATGATGTTTTTTATTCCGCGGGGACTAGTTTCTAGTCTCTGCCGGTGACTTTTTTGGAAAGTGTCAGAAAGAAAGGCTCAACACTGTTGTCCTTCAATGAAAAGGACCAAGCCACACATTGGAAGTTCTTGGCACAACTCGCTAAAGCGGTGCGTCATACCCAGTGCGCTCTAAGCCTCAGAAGATGACTCTTTATCATACGTAAGTTTTGTGATATTCTACGCATTGCCAACTATCCAGCTAATGTTGGAAGACCCATTTCAGCCAATGTGATATAGGGTACGCGCCACAGAGGGTGCAAGATATCACCCCTTTCTAATTAACCCAAGCTCTCTAGAGCCGTTTTTGGTGGAAGACTTAGCGACTAAGACTGTCTTTTCGATAATATAGTGTACTAAATTGCACTTGCGTCTTTCTATCTGACCAGGTACTCAAACGAGGCTCTTTCTTTTAGGATGCTTGGGAGGCGTCGGCTGGACTCATCCCAAGATGCCGCGAAAGAATACCGGTAACGTAAATTGTCATGACATTGTATAGGTATTCCTAGACGTAAGACATATTTCAGTGTGCAAATCAAATACATATCGACGCCAAGGGAAGTTATCCCCGTTCGTTATCCGCCAACAAGCTTACAATCGATCCTCATCGAAACAATGTAATTGCAGTCGGGGAAGTATTTCACGATACAGACTCATAGATTGTGTATGTAATCTATGATAAAGGAGTGCATCGATATTAGGCTTCTAATGAAATACACTTAAATCTTGGGGAGATTGGGTGGTATGGCATATGTCTCAGGGAAGAGGATCTGGACTGGAATGTCACCCACATCTCAACCGCACTTGCTCGAGAATGCTTCTCCTTTTCCTATTAATAACCTAGCAATGAACCGCGTCAACAACATTTGGCCAAATTCTTCCCCAAGAAACAAGAATTCACTTCCTAGCTACCATTTGCAAGCTTCATGCTAGAGGCTACTCAACATTCTGGACCGATTGAAAAATCCGCCGATATCGCTTGAACTTCAATAAGTTGAAAAAATACGATAATTTCAGGAGTCCGGTGGGTATCTTTCAACGCGAGTTTGTGACCCATGGTTTAATCAGAGAGTGTCATGTAGGGCTGAACTGGACCTCATTTTGCCAAGGAGCTTGATAAAGTAGATGAGTCTGATTCAAATCATCGACGATAGCGAGCACAATTCCTTCAAATGTACCTAATGTCTTAGACAAAAGAGCTTGAATCAAGGGAGCAAGCTTGGCAAGGTTGATCCTATCCGTACGAATAACCACTCCAGGCAAAGACATGTAAACAACCCCTTACCGCCTCTAGTCTGGCACGTACGAACCGCTCGTATGTGTCATGTTCGACTTGCCGTTATGCTAGCGAGATCCACCACTGGAAGAAGCAGACTTGTTACACAAGCCTATTGATTCCGGGGTAGACTAGACAAGGATTCTAATATCAACCCTGGTTCTAGCACTGGACCATGTCGGTATCTTATCTGGGGCCCCAGAGGTAATTGGCGACGCTGATTTATGGTTAAGAACCCTTCAGATCGGAGTTTTACGATCTGCTATTCAAACGAAGATCAACATATGTAATAATTAGCACAGCAGGCGGGAATAGCAACGTAGACAGGTGTGGGATTGAATTAGTTATGAATCGTGACCGTGAGGAGAGAGGACAAACAACGTCTGAGTTTCAACATCAGATCCAATAACATGATACACGGTTTGCCTACGACACGTTTAGTAATATGATATTTTGCTTAAAAAGAATGAAGACTTAAGATGCAAATTCTATTTCTTTTCCATGAGCCAAAGCTGATTGGGCCTCGGGCATCCCTTGTATTGTCTCTTTCGCGTTGGAATGCCCCAATATGAAGCAAGCCAGGGGCAGAACGTCTTGTAGCAAGAAGCGACTCACTTAGATCCAGCCAGTGTATTCCGCCGAGTGGTGCGCCGGTAGGACTTACACTCTTGATCAGGCACCGTCGAAGAGTCGCTGATGACTGGTACGAGCCGCGCATCTGGATATTGGACGGCATCGCATTCCTCATCTCGGCCAGAGGCCAGGCGCGCCGAGAGCCCATTCCAAGCTACGCCTTGAGGCGCTTGTTGAATACACAATTAACAACCATCAGGGATGATGAAGTTTGTCTATATAATGATGCCATTGTCATAGCCTTCTCCAGTGTGTCTCTTATCAACAACCAACTCAATTCACTCTCTACACATTCACACACAGGCTCCCTCAGCATCATTCGTGATCAAGCATCATCATCAACAATGGCCAAGTCTGTCCTTCTCACTGCCGCCCTGGCGGCTGCCGTCGTTGCTCAAGGTGGCCCCGGTGGCCCGCCTCCCCAAGGAGGCGTCGCACCTTGGGGACCTCCTCCTCCTCCTCCTCACCATTGCCCTGACGGCAAGCCTTGCGGGCCTCCCCCACCTCCTTGCCATGACTGTGACGATGAGTGCCGTCCGGAAATTTGCATCATCATCATCGACGGGACCGTCCCTCCTTGCGGACCTAGCGGCCATTGCCTGCCCGCTTGCCCATCCAAATGTCACAAGAAGAAGTGGCCTCAGGATCACCCCCAGCCACCATGCCACGGCGACAAGTGCCCTCCTCCACCACCATGCCATGGAGAGAAGTGCCCTCCTCCTTGCCACGGCGAGAAGTGTCCTCCTCCCCACCATGATGAGAAGTACCCTCATCCTCCTCCTTGCCACGGCGACAAGTGCCCTCCTCCTTGCCATGGAGATAAGTGCCCTCATCCTTATCCTCCACCATGCCACGGTGAGAAGTGCCCTCCTCCACCACCATGCCATGGAGAGAAGTGCCCTCCTCCTTATCCTCCTCCTTGCCACGGTGAGAAATGCCCTCCTCCCTGTCATGGTGAGAAGTGCCCTCCTCCCTACCATGGCGACAAGTACCCTCATCCTCCTCCTTGCCACGGCGAAAAGTGTCCTCCTCCTTGCCACGGCGAGAAGTGTCCTCCTCCTTGCCATGGCGAGAAGTGTCCTCCTCCCCACCATGATGAGAAGTACCCTCATCCTCCTCCTTGCCACGGCGAGAAGTGCCCTCCTCCCCACCATGGTGAGAAGTACCCTCCTCCTCCTCCCTGCCACGGTGAGAAGTGCCCTCCCCCTCCTTGCCACGGCGAGAAGTGCCCTCCTCCCCCTTACCCTCCTGTGAAGGAGTCTTATTGCAAGGGCCCTGAGTGTGAGGAAAAGTGCCACCACGAAAAGTGCCTCTGGGTGCCCGAGGGTCACCTTCATCCTCCTTGCGGCACTGGCGAGAAGTGCCTGCCTCCTTGCCCCCCCAGCTGCCCGCCCCGTGAGAAGCCCTCTACCGTTGTCACAACTCCTTCTCCCCCGCACAAGCTGGTCCCCCCTACCACGATCGCCACTCCGGTCCCCCCCAAGACCAACGAGGTACCAGAAACTCCCAAGGGCGAGAACAAGGTCCCTATCATCAGCGGTGCCTCCAAGACCAGCCAGACTGGCATCTACCTCAGCATGGCTGCCGCCTTCGCTGCCATGCTCTGGCTCTAAAGCTCTAATTTCTTTTGATAATTGAGGCGTCTGGAAAAGGAAAACGGAACCAGATGGGAATGCAAGGAAACGGAACCAGGGGACGGATGGAGATAATTTGTTGTTCAGGGGAGGTTTTGATGCAGTAATATCTTCTTGTACTCACAGATTTGTGCCTTAATTTTTAATGAAATTAAAGATGTTTGCTTGGTCCTACTATTATGTGTGCTCAATTTGTTGGTGCATCTGTCAAAGGAACATATCGAACTCCAAACAGCCGCCGCTCTTTGATCTGCCCCTGAGCATCCTTTTCGATTCTCCACACGGATTGACTGATCCCTGACGTGTCGTCGTCTACTGGGATAAACATACTGTGCGTGCTGATTAGTTTTCATTTTCAATAAACTTCGTGTTGAACTCACCATCCTGGTGCTTTGAGTTGGTTGAGAAGCTCTGGATGGACCTCCTTCGCCGATGCACCGACGTGAATCACATCCCAGTCACTCTCCCCTTCCTCCGCCCAACCCTTTCTCCCATCCCCAACTCTGTACCGAACCACTCCGTTGTTGACCAACTCTGAACCTCTAGTACTCTTCCGGGTGTTTCTTTCACCAAGGTCTCGAAGTTCTTTGATGTGTTCCAGCCCTACTACCAATCCCTCGCCACCAATCATCTCGGCCAACACATGCGTCAAGTACCCAGAGCCAGACCCAACATCAAGAATCCTCCGAGGAGAAGAACTTGGTGTGAGATACGGTAAGACATTCTCAATAGCTGAGGCGTGCATGTGAGGAGCAGAGATAGTAGCCGCGTGCCCAATCGGCTGAGGCGAGTCCTCATACGGCATCGCCGGAGCGTAGTGTGCCCGGTCAACCTGCGTTGAAACAAGCCATCGTCAATCCTAGGCCGTTCGCCTGATGTAACAGTGTAAAAAAAAATGATCATTTTAGATTTCTTACCTTCAGGAAGGCTTCCTTGACTCCTTGGTCGTGGATGAGCTGGTTCCTCCATAAGTTTTCAATCAGCTCCGAGTTGGATGTCCCAGAACACCGCCAGGCCATGTTGGAGATCGGTCGGCGTCGAAAAGGCAACAATAAATTCAATACCGAGTTTCTGAGCTGGTGCGTGATGATATTGTTCCAGGCAGGTCCCATGAACAATAGGCAGTCAGTTGTGGTTGTAGTTCATAAATGGCTGAGGATTCGATGAAAGAGCTGCGTCAATCAGTTTGGCATGTGCCCTCTCAACAGGCGCCCCGGAGTGGCGAAGAAGTTTGATTGGTGTGAGAATGTTCCTGGTGATGTCGGACGACCATCATAGAAGCCGCCACGGAACCCTGCTTGCGTGCTTCTAATGCGGGGTGGAAGATCATGTGTCACAGTATGCGCTTGGACAGCGCACATTCCACCAAACCATAGTTGACTCCTCCCATCCTGGCGAATTACTCACTCTCACCTTGGTGCTTTTCTATAGGGCAGTACCTTGGATTTACTCGGTCCTCTTTGGGATGCTTCAATAGGGAGGCTGCTGAAACCGGCATTTATGGTCGGAACATAGGTAGATAAGAAAGAATCTATCCTGGCTATGAGGGTATCTGGACTCTCCAATGGCAGTTGCAATTCTTGCTAAGCAAAGAAAACCCGGAAGAAGGAAGACATGAGAAAATAAAAGAAATAGAGAGTCAAAGGAAAAAACCGACAACAATTCCCTGTGCGGCCGTCAACAGGTTTACTCATTTCGGAGTGTTCATTAGAACATGACCGCGAGTTTACAGCAAAAGATTACCGTATTCCTCCCGTTCATGATGGGGTCCGTGTATGCCAATGATCGAAGATTTGTTCTTCGCCCGCGAATAATTCCCTCCCAAATCGCAATAATAATATGCTTAGCCCAAAAACGCCAAATCTGAAAATAAGGGAATCTCGTCGAGAATAGTGGCTCACAAAGGAGCTACAGATAATGTGATGTTGTACAGACCCAGGAAATAATGTGCAAAATCATATAAGCCAAATGGCTGTCTTAATTTGATTTTTTGTCTTTCTCTTGCTTGTTGTTGCTCTCATACCGCTCGCTCGGATGACTCGCCATCAGCAATAATCGGAATGCCCAGCCCACGATCAGGGCTCTGGAGAACCAGCATCTCGTGCCTTCTCGCCTTCATGAATTCGGCGATGCTCTTAATTAAAATGAACCATCCGACAACCATTAGAACATATGCCATCCACTCGCTCCCGGTGATGTCCCCAAGCCCGCGCCCTCGGCCTTCTGTGACTTCTTGTGCCTGGAAGTTGTGCGAGTTCGGATCCGGGGGCGCAGCGTATCCGTCAGGACCGCCCATGTTGGGCGCATCACCGGGGCCGCTCTTAATCTTAAAGCCATACTGGATGAGTGTGACGCCAAGGCCCGCAAGTGATCCGTTCTTGGCTGCGTGCGTCGAGTGAAGGAGATACGTGAGAAGGAAGCCGACCAGCTGGAACGCGGCTGAAATGATACCGTTCCAAATAAAGGAGAAAACCGAGCCAACAGGGAGACCATCGACAAAGACTTCGTCGAATCCGCCTAGCCCTGGTGCTAGGATCGTCGTTTCCCAGTACGGAGGGACTGCATCGGCGGCGGCTTGTTCGTATGTCTAACGAATTCAATAGTTAGTGGATGGTTTTCAATAACAACACTAGAGACGGCGTGACTCACGGGTGGTTGCTCATCCTTCTCTGATTCCGTTCTCTCAGGTCTAGCCGACATATTGGCAAACACTCCATCCGTTCCCGACCCCCCGCCTACAATTCTTGGTGATCTGATCACTGGTGCTGCTGAAGGTTGTGCTAAACTGTGACCTGTGCGGGATTGCGAACCAGAAGCTTGCGGCGCGACGCTTGGGGTGGAGTTCTGTCGCACGAGGCGTTGTCGGTCATCAGCCTCGTCGTCGCTATCGTCATCATCAAATGCATCTGCGAGTGCTGAGTCGACGGCACCATTGCGTCGGTTCGGGGACGAGGAGCGGGAGTGAAATGAGGGTGGCGGAGAGTGAGGGACATGCGGCTGCCCAAGACGATTGTTCGAGGTTTCGACTGGGGATCGTAAGAGCGTCTCTTCGTCGTACTCCTCCTCGTGGACATTAACCTAGTGCGGGATTAGTATCGTCCAGTGAAGAATCACGAGGACATCCACATACCATCTTGTATCCGGGAGCCATGGTGATGGCCTGTCGCTCTTCGTTGCTACAGACGGAGCGATTGAAGGACGGAGAGATGAGGCAGTTGCGGTATGGGCGCGGGAGTATACGTAATGTCACACTAGCCGGCTACCCCGGATAATCGACCGTAAGGGGCACCTCCTCTGGAAGCAAAGACAAAACGGATACAGAGGAGAGAGCGTGTAGGAGAGTAGATAATAAGGAGAGGTATATCGCCTCTTGAGAAGAGGGTATAATCGCGAATTGTCGATTAAGGAAGGGGATGACAATGAATGGAACGTACCCGGCGGAGCACTGGGCTGTGTCGTGATAACGCCCCGTGACTAGAGTGTCTCTAGTATGGAACCATCTGGTCCCCGTCTTACGCTCCTGCCTGAGGCATAAGGTTAGGGATGGGATCCACTAAGCCATTCTCCACTGAGGCGGGACAAAGTAGATTTCGGAGGCTAAAACCTCCGATCGCCGAAGGAATTTCTTTGGTCTACAGTTAATCGATCGGTCATTGAGCCCCATGCCATTGGCTAGCGTTGGTCCACGATAATCTGATTTTGGGTTTCGTCCATTCGAGGAACAAACAGTTTGCTTGATCGCGCCAAATACTTCTCTTGCGTGACCAACCGACACTCTACCACACATAATGTCGCGCCCTTTATCAGTACGCCAATGGCCCTCCTAGGCTCCGTGTCGCAATGTCATGCTAACCAGGCCAGCACCGGATCTACACAGAAGTCCTATCCAAGTGGCCGAAGCAGGAGCTCCGTCCCGACTACCAGCTCCAAGATGTAATTCGCGCGACTATAGACAAGCGATTCCAGACCTACCAGCCCTCGATGGAGGCCGAGGAGCTCTTCAAGGCACGATCACTACAGTTTCTGCAGCAAAATCGGTGGAACGAGAAGGCATGTGCTCCGAAGACGAGAGCCCTCTGCTTTTGGCTAACACTTTGTAGTACAAGTTATCAGGCCAGATGCTGAAGCCAAGCAGCCAGCCGACATATTTCGACGACCTGATCCGCGAAATCGAAGAAGCTCCGAAGAGAACTTGGTTCGAGCGCCTAGGAAAGAGACTTTCAGGCATGATCAGACTATCTTAAAAACCGATTTAACGAAACCAAGTCGGAACGCGAGAATAAGAAAAAAAAAAGAATATATAAGGGTCGCAGACAGAGGATGTAATACTTGGGCACATTTTATTTACGATTGACGCCAGCACACATCACGGTGGGATTATTATCGAGGGGCAAGGGAAACGAATGTTAACAACAGTGTATATCAGTGTACGATTATCTGTACAAAATCGAGCCAAAAGAAGCTCCTGTCTATATTCAACGCAACGCCTGTATGTTCCTTGTGGTGTGCATGTCTAGATGTACTTCATCTCCGGGTCCAGCCTGTTCATCAACTCCATACTCTTCTCGTACATGGTAAATACGATACCACCGCTCATCACCAACCTAGCAAGCCTAGGTAGTGCGCCGCTCCAGAATGTGAGCACGCCCTCATTCTTGAAGATGGACACCGCACACTTGATCGTACTTCCATAAAGCTGCTTGGCCTCAATGCTCTGCATTCGCGTCTTGATGGTGTCGAGGGGTTGGGTGACGGCAACGGTAACAGTACCTGCCATACCACCAATGGTGAAAGTAGATATAGTTCCGAGCTTTTCTCCTGGAGCTATCCATGATTCGGCGAGCTGGCGAAGCGTGGTGTAGGTACTGAACCGAACAGCGGAGTTGGCTGACTGGCGAAGGGTCGTAGGGACAAAGCCCTGGAAGAATCCGGCAATGCCTCGTTCGCGAGCGATAATGGGGACGGCGTGAAGGAAGCCGCGCAATCGTGGTTTGGCTGACTTTCGGTCGTCGATGCTACGAAAGCTGTTAGTGTCAAGGATTCGAGCGCAAAGGGATGTCAAGATCTCCGTACAGCGTTGTCTTGATGCTCTCTGTCGGCGTCACAGCAAGAAGAGACTCTGTCACACCAGCGCCGAACCCGGCGAGAACAGTTCGGGGTCCGGAAAGTTTTCCATCGGCGTCGGCAAGCATTCGCTTGTACTGATCAAATGCGACGAATCCTGGATTAAGCGTTAGTGTGTTCAAAGAGCATCCAATTGCACAGTCCGACTGCGATAGACTTCACATACGAATACCGGCCTTGGCAGAATTTCCAATGATCAGTGTCGTACATCCCGCATACCATTGCTTGCCAAACGGTGGCCATGGCAGCTTCTGGCCCTCGGCTAACCTGGTATTGAGCTGGGAACGAGTCTTGGCGACTTTCGGGGTGTTAGTTGATCGTTGCGCCTGTATCTGCGGCAAGTTCTAAAACAAGGGAAAATCGAGACGCACATTCGGCAGGGTAGGTAATGGCTGCATTGGGTGGAAGAAGTGGTGGTTAGCTGTTTGGTCCAACTGACCTCGGCCAGGATGTCGTGTGCCAACTTACCAATCTCAACTGCGCCAGCGGTTGACCCAGCGAGAATAGAGCGGAACGCACTGGGGGTCTTCTTTTTCTGACCCTCAGGGGAATCTTTGGAGGCCGCGGTCGCCATTGTCATTAAAGACTGATATCTAACGAGGGAAGTCGAATACTTGCTTGAGATTGGCAGCCCCTCCGATCTTTCACAAGCCGAGAGCTGGGCTTAGAAAGTCGTCAGAGAAATCATCGTATTAGCTTTACTTACCCTGTAGCAGTTTCACTTTTTTGTGGAGACTCTAGATCCGAAGTCGCATCTCGTACAAGCAGGCCTGTCAAACAGAACAACGCAGCTAACATGATGGGAAAATTCTTGCTGCACGAGACCAAATCCCGTTTCCCATGAAGATAAGAACCGGGAAAATACATGGCTGCTATTGGCCTTGAAATTATGCAGAGAGGTCGTTTGGCTCCGTCTTCTGTCTAAAAACCGACGTCGCGACACTGACCTCAACGTGATGCTACTCAATGCAAAGCTGAATTTCCATTAATCTCGGCACATCTCATTATTTTATAACTCTTATACAAAGGAAAATTCAGGCGTCATTCTTTCCAGTATTGATTAGGGTCGTTTTGGGTACTACTTCAGTATATTCACGCTCAGGCATGCTCCCCTGCCCGGCGTCCTACCCATTGTCGCTCAGGTCCAACTGATGTATCTAGTCGAGTGCTTGTCAATGTGGCGGGTGAGCACCGGCGAGATAACCTGGATCGAGGGAGGCTAAGGGCCGTACTGCCTATGCTAATCCCGAGCGGAGTCGAGAGAGCGCGCAAAGGTGTCGGTTCTGGGGAGGTAACTCCCCAGGGCTTAAGGTACGTGCCAATCCCATGGGAAACCATGGCCGAATGGATGAGCACCCGCCGTGCATTTGGAAGTTATATATTGAAAAGCAGGCCAAAGTTCCAATGGTGGGAGGCAAGACCGTAGTGAAGTTGGTGTTGCCGGAACTTATCTTTTTTGTTCACATCTCACTTTTCTCATCTGTCCCGAACTCGCTGGTAAGTTTTGGAAAATAGAGTAAACTATATAACGAGAAGAGCTTAAAATTACGAGAAACTAGATAAGGTGTGTTTTTACCCCCATCTAGTCTTGTGATGCATGTGATGGAAACCTTACCGCAGGTAAGATTCAGCTACTTGAGCCATTATAGTAACTATTACGGAACGATAAAAGGATGAGAGAAGAACGTGCTATTGATTTTAGCTTGGTAAATTATTCATACTCGAGGCTCTTGTACGATCAACTATTCTTCATAAGGTTACTCCTCCTCGACGAGTTGGTAACCCATGCCAGACAAAGCAGAACAATATCCAGGAAAAGAAATTCATTCGTTGGGAATTTTAAATGGAGAAAACAGACGTCGAAAGAGATGTCAGGTTTACACAAGATGACTTGTTGGAGGCCAGAGAGGCGGCATCCAAGATGTCGCTTGAAGAGGTGATCAAAGCGATGAAGGATGTGGTCAAGGTCCACGAACATGACCCTAACTTCCCGCATAGCCTCCTACTCCGAATTGACGCATTTCTAGGTAAGTTCCAGCCGTATTTAAGGAAGTATTTGTTTGCGTGATACTGATTTGTATTCAGAAAATAGTGACGTTCTGGAACACCCGGAAAGACATGGTGATCTCATCATGGAGATGAAAACTGAAGCTGCCCTTATACTGAATAATAGCCCTTACGCTTCGGTTCGCTCTGCTGTCGACAATAAAGACGATCCTTCAATTCCTTGTTCAACAATCCGGGCATGGACGATCGGGATTGCTTTCTCATTTATAATGTCAGCTGTGAACCAGTTCTTCAGTATCCGGCAGCCCCGTGTATCCATTCCATCTAATGTTGCCCAGCTATTAGCCTATCCAGTTGGTAAGTCCTATCGGCATTTTCATGAGGTTATATTGGCCTCTATCCACGCGTGAAGTGGCTGATAGGTACTGACAGGCAAGGCCTGGGAAAAGTTCATTCCTGCCTACGAGATTTCCCTCCGGGGTCATAAGATCAGCATGAACCCCGGCAAATTCTCCAAGAAAGAGCATATGCTCATTGCCATTATGGCTAGTACTTCCATGTCTCTGCCAATCTCCAATATGGTTGCTTGGACACAAATTCTTCCTCAGCAGTTTGACCAGCAATATGCCCGCAGTTTTGGGTATCGAATCTGCCTTGGGATTTCCACCAACTTCATCGGATACGGGTTGGCCGGAATGACGAGAGAGTTTCTCGTGTATCCGGCCTACTGTATTTGGCCAGCCAGCATCACCACAATTTCACTAAACAGCGCCCTGCATGAGAGAGAAAGCAAGGCTGTTCCGGGACCATTCGGAAAGATATATTATATGTCGAGATACCACTTCTTCCTCTTGACTTTCGGGGCCATGTTTGTATACTTCTGGTTTCCCAACTATATATTCACTACCTTGACATATTTCAGCTGGATGACTTGGATCGCGCCAACAAACAAACATAACAGCATCGTCAACGGTTTCAAAAATGGCATGGGAATGTTCAACCCATGGCCTACCTTCGATTGGAACATTTTGCTTTACGATGGCCTAGATCCCCTAATGGTACCGTTCTTCGTCACAGCCAACAGGACTCTTGGGATGTGGCTGCTGGGCTTTGTCATTCTCGCCATATACTACACAAACACCTGGAACACCGGATATTTATCCATCAATACCAACTTAGTTCACGACCACTTTGCTAAGCCGTACAATGTATCCAGGGTTGTTGACGATAGAGGGATGTTTGATTTACAACGCTATGTTGGGTATTCCGGCGCATATCTCAGCGCCGCCTATGCTGTTATCTATGGGTGTTACTATGCCATCTACACTTCTGCGATTACATATGTCATTCTGTTCCACCGCAACGAATTTGTGAACAACCTCAGGCCGTTATGGCTCAAGATACGCCGGAAGAAGAACGAAGAGGAGACAGGTTATGGGTACCGAGATGTTCATAACCGCCTCATGAGTGCCTACAAGGAGGTTCCTGCCTGGTGGTACTTTGCTACCTTGCTGATTTCTGCCGGCTTTGGCTGGGCTGGAATTGGCGGCTGGCCCACATACACGACTCTTGGGGTCATCCCATTCGGAGTGCTTCTAGCCATTATCTTCATGATCCCAATCGGTATAATTAACGCCATGACTGGGGTTCATGTTACCCTCAATGTTCTAGCAGAATTCGTTGGAGGCATGTGGGTGGAAGGAAATGCTCTAGCAATGAATTTCTTCAAATCATATGGGTAAGGCTCCATGACCTCTATCCAGTAAGTGTTGGAGTTGACTAACATGCTCAATCCGGCAGCTTCATAACCTGTGCACATGCTATCACTTTTGCGAATGACTTGAAACTAGCACATTACCTCAAGGTTGGTTCCCCAATCTGTCATATCTATAGGACATGCCTTTCTGGTTGAGCCATCACCACTAACGTCCTTCCTCAGATCCCTCCACGAACCACATTCTGGGCCCAGATGATCGCCACGCTTATTTCCACATTCATTTGCAACTTGGTCATGGAAGTCCAGATGGACATCAAGAACGTATGCACACCAAAGGCACCAATGCGATTCTTTTGTCCAAACATCAACAGCTTTTTCTCTGCGTCGGTCCTATGGGGCACCATCGGCCCAGCCAAGATGTTCAGCCACACGGGCCAATACGCGCTCCTCCTTCTAGGATTCCCGCTCGGCGCGTTGAGCACGGTGCTCTATTACTTTCTGGTGCGGAGGTTCCGGCGAAGCAAGTGGCTACGAGCGCTGCATCCCGTGGCTCTGTGGTACGGCGGTCTCGGCTGGTCGCCATACAGCTTTTCATACGCCTGGCCGTCGATACCTGTGGCATGGCTGAGCTACATCTATGTCAAGAAACATTTCCCGCAGTTCTGGGCCAAGTACAATTTCGTCCTGTCCGCCTCCTTGGCGGCTGCTATCCCGGTCGCGAGCATCATCATGGTCTTCAGCGTCCAGTGGGCAGAGATTGAGCTGAAGTGGTGGGGCAATACACAGCCATCGATCGGTTGCGAGGGTACGCCGTGTACCTTGAAAACCCTTGGCAAAGGTGAGAGATTCTATCCATGGTGGGATCCTGCTGTCCATCCTGCGCCCTAGCCCTGCCCACCACCTGGTTGGGACGAGGAAGTCAAAGCAGGTATGGGTGCATGGCGAGGCCATTGGAGCAAAGATGGAAACAGCATCCATGTATGGCCCTATTGGGACGCCAAATCCGAAGATTGATACCGATCATCACCCGGCATGCTTGTCGGCAGGCAGCTCCGGATTTCGATCCGGGTCACGGATCCGGTTGCCGAACTTGGAGATGGGTAATTGTGGACCAGCCCGGGCCGCCTGCCGAACAAATGACATGGCAACAGGGCTTCATTCCCTGTCTACGGACCAGGTAGATACCTAAGATCACAAGAAGAGTGTGGGATATACATAGTTGGCATGCCGATCATATGGAGTAATAATGTAACACACCACGGTGGGCCTTAAGTTTCCTGTTCCTGACCGCTGCCGCTGGGTCCGTCATCAATTGAGTTTCGCCATCCATCTTGGCACTCTACACTTGCAGCATGTCTTCTCTAGTAGATCTCACCACCAATCAGTGCCCTCTAAGCACATTGTGTGAGCTTCCTCTCTCGGCAGGTCTAGCTCGTATTCATTGGGACAGGAAACGTACGAGCACGTATTGATGTGTCACGTCGGTTAGGCATCCCGGCCCCACTGCCTTGCGTCATGGAAGTCATCGAGCTGGGCTGCGGGGAGCTCAATGTCGTGGCCATCAGTCGGATCACCATCTCATACTCCTCATTCCCATCTTCCCTGATTAACAAATACCACTCACCATGTCCATCTCAAAGGTCGCCCTCGTCGGGGCCAACGGAAACCTAGGCTCCGTCATCCTCCCCGCACTGGTCGATGCAGGCTTCGAGGTGACCATCATCCAACGCTCAGGCTCGAAATCCAAGCCCGCCATCTCCAGCCCCAACCTGAAGACCAAAGAGGTCGACGGCGACTTCCCCCTCCCAGACATCACCGCCGCCCTCAAAGGCCAAGACGCCGTCATCGCCACATTCCCCCTCCCCAACCGCCTTCAACATCATCTCCGCCTCGCCTACGCCGCCGCCGAGGCCGGTGTCCGCCGATACATCCCCGCCGACTTCGGATCCTGCGATGCTGCCGCCCGCGAGCCCCTCCGCCGCCTCCAGCTGTACCGCGACAAGACCAAGGTCCGCGAGCGCTGCCAGGGGCTGACCCGCGAGTTCCCCGACACGTTCACCTGGACTGCCCTTGTCTGCGGACACTTCTTCGACTGGGGTCTGCGGAAGAAGTTCCTCCACATTGACCTCGACCAGCACACCGCGCTGATTCTCGACGGGGGCAACAAACCTGCCTCCGTGGCCACCCTGAAACGTGTGGGTGAGGCTGTTGTGCGGGTGCTACAGCGCCCAGAGCAGACGGCTAACCGGACGCTATACGTCCAGTCTTTCAACCCGACGCAGCGCGATGTTATCAAGGCGCTAGAGCGAGCCACGGGAGCAGAGTGGACTGTGGAGGAGGAGGAGTCTGAAAAGTTTCTGGACCGTCATCAGAAGCTATACGACGAGGGCTCACACGAGGCACAGGAAGACATTGTGTACGCCTTGGGTGCCTTGGACGCCGACTGGACGACGAGGGACGGCTATGCCATGGAGCTCCTGGGGCTCGAGAATGAGGACCTAGACGAGGTTGTGGGCGCCATCCTGAAGGAACACGCCGCTCAATCCAAGCCTACAGCATAGTGTCTTCATTGCGCCACTTTCACTTCTTCCCGTAGAGAGTAGAGTCAAGCGAACTTTGACAAGTCATTCACAACCTCTTTCTAGTATCCATACGATGTGTCAGACCAACATCTTCGCGTGGTGTCTCGTGAACACGGCTATGGTTACATATGTGTAGCCTGCTAGATACTTTAGCCGACAATACCTAATTCTAAGTCAAACCTCAGCATCAGCGAGATCTACAGCCGGCCAAATGGTCGATGGTACCACACAACGTCATCCTTCATTCCCTCCTTTGTAATTCACCTCTAAATGCTCCGGCCGCAACTACATGGTGTGAGGCGGTCGGTGCCCCCGTCGATCGGATACCTAGAAGGGGGACGTTTTAGACAAGCCGTTGACACCTCGCGAGGGAGGGTGTGCAACCCCCATTCCAGCAAGCTGTCGTAAATTAGATTTAGAGCCCGGAATGCAGGGTTTCGGCTCATGACTACCAGCTGAAAAACGACTGATCCTAAATTCCTAATGCAGCCGACTTTCCCCCAGCCAGTTGCTCATATCGAATGGAGATACTGGGCCAGCGCCCCCGATAAGCTGGCCGTAAACACCAGATGGGGAGTTCAGGGTCCCTTCAATTTGTCTTACACAATCGACTTCACCTAGACCACCAAATGAACTGGATAGGAGAGCGAAAACATTATTTAGGTCCTCACGAGTCCTCCTCGTAGGCAGTGTAGGATTGGTAGGAAAGACATCTATAAGAAATAATCGTCAACACCAGGGATACTAGCCAATCAGTTCCTCAAAAGTCTGACCGCAACCATGAAATCTGCTCTTTGGATCTCTCTCTTTCTCTCAGCTCTCGTAAGGTAAGTCAATTAGGGTGGACCTCCTACCTGGCTCCCCCTTTAGAGCCTCCAATAACCGTATATGCAGCGCTGAGAAGGTGCGGGCGCCTTGCCCAACCATCACCTCAGTTACAGCATCTTGCGATGCTTGTTTCCATGCCGAATGTGTGGCCAAGACTACTCTCGTGCAAGGATGCGGTTGCCCTACAGACGTACCTACCGTGTACACTAGCCGGGGCTGCGATGAAGGCTGTCCGAAGGGATGCAAATGGTCGAGCTATGTCATTGCCACCCCAACCGCAGGCTCATGCTAGTCCACGCCCTGGTGGAAGTGCTGGATAGAGGAGGAATCCCAGCAGAACATGGCGCGAGGCGGCGGAGGGTTGTTCCAATATTGCGGCGGTGTGGATTTTGTGTCAGGATAGCAGACCAAGCCAAAAAATCAAATATTGCCCAATTGCTCGTGTCACAACTTTTGGGCCGCACTTGACATACCTCATTGAGACCTAAGGCTCTTTTCTCCCTTGGGCAATCGGGAAGAGACTAACAGTCATCGCAAACTACCTAATTCAAGGCAATGGCAGTTTTCAATACCTCTGGCATATGCAGATCCGGGACTCCACCCAGCAAGATTGGTGGCACGCCATCTATATTTGCAATCATCGAATATTAGTAAGAGTTGATACAGAAGAACAGATGGAGGTAGCTGTGGTGGTTCAGGGAGAGTGACATCGCGTATAGAAACACGCGATTCGTCAAGCCTACACGTGTAAGAAAGGTCTAGACACGGTTTGAAACGTCCAGAATAAGAAGATACGGGATATCTGGAGTTGATCAATGCAAAAAGCCAAGCCAAGCCGTGCGTCGTTCAGCTCTTCAGGGACATGACGCCAAGAGGCAAAACGCCTGATGATGGGGCAATTTGGAACATAATACCATCACCGTTAAGAGAAGCCCGAACGGTGGATTTCAGAGGAGGTGAGGCTTTGGAACTGTGTCTGGGGTGGACGGTATATCAGACTGCTAGGCAGGGATAGTTGGACTGGATCGAATACACCGAGATGCAGCTGGGACGCTATGCAGCAATGCAGCCTTGGCAGGGCAGCTGATCCGGTCTTCGGTAGAGTGGATTGATGGTGTCTGGACTCTGGTCACGGTTAAGATGTGGTGATGTGGAGATGGACAGCTGGCAAAGGGCCGCGCGGCAGCTTCCAGGCAATTAAAGAAATTAACATTGGAAGGCTTCAGGCGCGCCGGGGCTTTCCCCGCGCCACAATAACGGGCCCCCAGAGCCTATGACTTACTGCGATAGGGCGCTGTCCACCTTCGTCATTCACGCTGGCAGTGCTGATCCAGTGGATTCCAGGTCCCCACCGCCTGATGGCCACAGGGCAGGGACAGGCTCTAATGGCAGCCCTGCGAGTAACTGCCGAGCAGCTGCACACCAGCCCAGGCCGTCACACGCGACACCTACATATCCATGGACGCTGATTCCAGGGCCAGTCTGCCGGGCTGGAGGTGCATCAAAACAGCCAAGCAGGTGCAGGTGCAGGTACAGGTACAGGCACAGGCACATGTGCGACAGGCGAGGAGGGAGAAAGGGTCGGGTTCTTCCTAGGTTGGAGAAACGTCGTCAACTCCACCTGCTGCAGGATCTTCCGGACGGCTGAATGGCTTGCTGGGGTTAGCTACGAGCTACCATCTACGTACGTATCAAATACTGACGTCCTGCTACTAATTACTGGGTACACTCACCTAAGTATCAATGAATGTAGGCGCCAGTATTAGGAACGCCACCAACAGCTGCTGACGTTGACCTATCGATCTGTCCTCGCCGCCCTTAACCAGAAACATGATGGCGGCAAGTGATACGTTGGGAGCAAGGCAGCGAGCAACACCTATTCCTGGTCAAACTTATCAGGTGTCTAGCGCGAATTGATCATATGTATTCATTCGCCTGCCTGACGTCGTCTCGATCCACCCAAGTTGGCTTGGGCATCACCTATTTTTTCCCGCTTGTTTATGCTGCCCGTCCCGCATCCCAAATTAGTGCCTCCCCCCTGCTCTGTCTCGACAATGCTCACCCACCTCCGACTTTCAACCACAGCTCTAGATTGTAAATTCTGTTAATTAACCTCTTGCTTTGCATTGCATAGCAACCGTGCCCCAGTCCACTTTTTTTCTTCCTCTCGATCGTCTCTGTCGACAACATCAACAACAGGGCATATCCCTAAAAGACACGATACGCAAGGCTCATCAGCCTGATGTCCAGGAACTAATCCAAATTACCTCGCTGTCACGACACATCTGAGCCCCGATCCTGACGAGTCGTGGGCGTGACACAGCAAGGGATCGCTCGTTGCATCTCAGGCCTGCCGATCACACTTGCTTTCATAGCGTTTTGTCTTACCAAACCCCTCTCCTTGAACCTCACAACTCAACCAAGTTAAAAGGTCGCTGGATCCCACTCGGTAGATCGAGTCTACAGCTTGTCCAACTTCGTTCATTCTCTCTTCGTCGGGTCATCTTTTTGCAGTTTATACCAACCAGCAAGAGAAGACACACTCAACCTCATCCGCTCGCTCACCCATTGACTATTCCTTCACACATCATGGAGGCCAGGTCGTTGGGAACCGTCAATTATCTGGCAGCCAACCCGCCGCAGTATCCCGTCAATCCCGCGGAGCAACGCCGTGAGGCTGTCACACTCTACATTTCCCGTGTGCCCGGCACTCGAGGTAAGCCCCAGTTTCCGCCTTGTTATTCATGTTCGGTGTGCTGATCATAATCCAGATGTCATTCTCTCACCCTTCAAACCTCAGCTGAAAAATGTCTCCCCGGAGGATGTAGCCAGCTCCCTCTACTATATTCACCATGACACTTCTCCCACAGCTTTCGCTCAGGAAGAGGCCCCAAGGTCAAGTAACGATAGCAACCGCTCCAGAGCTATTCCTCGGAAACCTGTACCTGGCGCAACCCAGCAGCAAACCTCAAGTGCGGCTCAAGTTCCAACTCCGGTTGCATCACCAGTCACACCTCCAGTTGCTATTCCCGCTACATCACAGATCAAGTCTCCTGATACACCACCGATCCCAATCCCGGGAACCCCGGAGGATCCGCCTCCGGAGTATGAGCCAACGCCATCTCCTGCCTATCATGAAGCTCGGGCGTCGAATTCAAAGGCGCCTCCACCTCCAAGCCCAGCACCTTCCGGCCCCAGCGTACCAGTCGACGTCCCATCGCTCGCGGCAGGCTCCGATGAACTGTTTTTGTCTCCGTCACATCCACCACCGGGACATGTGAATCCCCACCCCTTACCAGCACTTCCGGACGAACCTGCCTCAGTTCTTGCTCCCCCGCCGATTCCAGCGAAGCTTCCGCTTGACCAGCCAGAGGAGGTTGTCGAAGATGACCCTCCTCCTCCTCCTCTACCTCCCCGAAATCTGAGTCTCCCGAGCATACAGACCGGCCTACCAGCTCGCAAGCCTATTAACACAAGCCCGCCAGATGCTGGCCCAACTATCCCTGCCCCGCAGTCAGCCCATGAACCATTCAGTTCCACGGAAAGAAGTTATGATGTGGAATACTCTCCAAGGCCTTCTACCTCTCATTCACTTAACAACGAGGCACAACTGATCTCACCACGATTGAATCAGGAGGGTCAACCCAGGCTCTCATTGTCTCAGAGGCCTACCGCCGATCCCTTTTCACTCATTCTCATTAGACGTGACCCCAGCACTGGCCTTCAGTGGAATGTAGCCAAGGTAAACTGCCAACCACGCGACCTCACCCCGATAACCCCCATGAGAGACGAACCAGATGTGACGGTTGCAACATCAAGCCAATCCTATCCAGCCATCGATATCCAGATCCAGAATACAGGATACGCCAAATTCCGCCACAACTTCCCTCGCCGAAGCATGGAACAAAATGGCGACCAAGTCCCCCGCACCCAACAGGCAGACTCCACCCTGTTCACACGACAAGTTGCCATGTTTTACTCAAAGAGCTGGGCGACCAACTTCCGCGAGAAGCTGAATCAGATGGAGAAGAAACACAATAACCGCACACGAAAACTCAGCAATGACTCAATCGACTCCACCGGATCTGCCGAAGGGCCTTCTACATCTATTGGCATCCCCATGCCCGGCATGAAACCAAGAGGCTACGTATTCACTAGCCCCTGGGATACCCGCTGCGAGTTCCGCACAGGCGATGGCGGCCGCAGCCTTCGCCTCATCCACATCCTCGGTGACAGCGTCCAACCCACCTTTAACGGCCAGGAGGATGGCGAATCCCACCAGCCCAGCTCTGTTGTTCTCAGCGAGCTTCGGTTCAACCTGCCTAATACGGATCTCTTCCACAGCACGCATGACAAGAATCTGGCCAACGTCCAGAATCAGCTGGGGAATCTATCCAAGTTCTTCCAGAAGCGTACCGGACATAGCCAGTACGAGGACGACGAGTACGACGACCCGGCTTCTCCTTTTGATTTGAGTCTTGGAAGAGAGAACGCTGGCGGCGGAAGCCGAGGAACGAGGGTAAAGATGGGCAAGCTCATCATCTACCACGACGGACTGAAGATGCTGGATCTCGTGGTGGCCGCTAATATGGGAGTATGGTGGAAATCATGGGAGAAGAACTTTTAAGTTTCCTGGCTGATCATGTTTTTTCCTCCCTTCACTTGGGGACATGTTTTTAATTTTGCATCTGATATAACGAAACGACTGACGCGATACGAGCGATGGAGTACAATAGAAGGTTACGAGAAGTCATCAATATTATACGAATTCCTGGGAGTATTAATGCTTATCTCCCTGCGTCGTATAATGTCACTAGAGGGGCATTACGGCTGGAATTTCAAGATCTCTTCCTTAGGCCACCAGGACCAGGGGAGCATGATGTTGTTATTGGAATCCATGAGCTACAATTTTTCGCTGCTAATGTTGGGAATGTTTGAAGTGCTACCTAGTGATTGGTAACAACGGGCCACCCACGAGCGTGCGTCATTGGACAGAGCTGTCCTGGATTGGGGTTCGAGTGGAGAAGACGAAGCCAGCAAGCGACTGACATAAAACATGGCACACCTGGACACTCCAGCGTTGAATTTTGACACAATATTAAAATAATTAATCTAGTAATACATACAATATCAAGCTAAATATCGTAGAATAATTTATTATTTTCCTCTTATTATTATATTTAATAAAAAGTGAGGTCCCTGCCTTACGTGAAAAGAGCTTTGGTGTGCCATGTTTTATTTCACCCACTTGGCCAGCAACCAAGATGTGGTAACTTAACTGGATATCCAGTGGCGAATTTTCTCATTGAGCCAAGACGTCATATACCAACTCCGAGGAGAGTTTTGAACCATATCTATATTTGGATTCTGACCTTTGATTTTGTTTCTCATTTCGCCGAAGGTACATGTAGGTCCAAGAGTTTGCCAGCTAATCTAGCCCCCAAGATCAACGAGCGAGAAAGCCTCACCCGCCACAAGTAGTTGGCCATTAAAAAAGCCCATGTGTTAAAACAGCCGATTACTCAATTCCCCGCACTAGATGACGGAGCGACGGCTATTTTCGAGATCTCCTTTTGACGCTATAGTACTTAGTAATTCAGGCGTCTTATTCGATGGCGATGGCACGCTAGCAGATCAGTGACTGTGACTGCATCACGTGGAAAGTCACGTGATAAGATCCGACCAATCATGAGCTGAGAATTGTAATCCCGCAGAGCCGGCGAGCGAAATCTCCCATCACGTCAAGAATAGCCTCCAGTATCACATTCGCCACGACAGAGCCTCTCCCCTCCACCCCAGCAACCTCCCCCGTCCCTCCGACGACCTCGACCTCTGCCGCCTCCTGTGGTCAGTCAGTCACAATGGCCTCCTCAATCATCGCCCGTCAGCAACTGCTGCCTCGGGTAGCCAGCGCCGCCCTGACGACGTCCCGAGTAGCTGCTATCCAGCAAGTCAGAGGTTATGCAACTCCCAATGGTCCCCCGCCCGCCAACTTCCGTCAGAGTCGCCAAGTCGAATGGCATTGGGACAGCGACACAACCCTCGACCGCATGGGCAAATTCTTCCTCATGACCGAAATGGCCAGAGGAATGTACGTACTGCTCGAGCAGTTCTTCCGACCTCCGTACGTCCAAGCCGAACCCGAAAACCCTCAATTGAACACGCCAATGCTAATATTCGAGCTTCAGATACACCATCTACTACCCCTTCGAGAAGGTAAAGCTTTCTCCGCATCGAATTTGACGACTGGTTGCGCTGACAGAAATCCATCACAGGGCCCCATCTCTCCTCGCTTCCGTGGCGAGCACGCTCTCCGACGATACCCCTCCGGTGAAGAGCGCTGCATCGCCTGCAAGCTCTGCGAAGCTGTACGCCATACCGTCATGACAATTCTTTTTTAGTTCATCGGATACTGAACAATTGCAGATTTGCCCCGCCCAAGCCATCACCATCGAGGCTGAAGAGCGTGCCGACGGTTCCCGCCGCACAACCCGTTACGATATCGACATGACCAAGTGCATCTACTGCGGTTTCTGCCAGGAGTCATGCCCTGTCGACGCCATTGTCGAGTCTCCCAACGCCGAATACGCTACCGAGACCCGCGAAGAGCTTCTGTACAACAAGGGTGCGTCTTTTCTCCTCGGCTACAACCCGGGTCCTGCAAACAGGCCAATTGGCCTCCCCAATGGCCGCAATATAAATATGCTAACTTTCCCCTTTTCCTCCTCACAGAGAAGCTTCTTTCCAACGGTGACAAGTGGGAGCCTGAGCTCGCTGCTGCCATCCGTGCTGATTCGCCCTACCGGTAAACACCGACGGCCCACTCGGACGCCGAGGAATAAATTCAAAAGGCGAGAAAAAATGCGAAAACATCCTCAAAACCCGAATCATCAAATCCAAATCCATATACCTATATTTATTTTATATTTTCACGCACCGTTCTTTTTGTACGATCAAACCGCGCACGCCTGTCAAAACGAGAGAAAGCGAGGGAGAGGGAGGGAGGGAGAGCAATAGCATGAGCAGGAGTGAGACAAAAACGAAGCCACTTTTTTTTAAAAGAACGAGCAGATGCAACCGGTGGTTTCCAATTGTCGGACTGTACATAAAATGTTTAGATCTCTTAGGGGTGTTAAGGTCTACCATCTACAAAACGCCCGTCCGTCCCAGTTCCCTTCATGTTCAGTCTCACGGAGATAGACAGGCGTATCAGGATCGATGCTTCTGATTATTAGGGGTTCATACTCTCGCTACCCGAGACTAATATTTACAGCTTCAGCCGTTCTCGACGACTTTCTTTTTGGTCTTTTCTCAACTCCTCGTCATACATTCATGAACTGTTCACATCCCAAGCTTCAAACTTAGCACTCTCTGACCTTAGGCTCGCCAGCGGATCCTGCAGCATTGAGCATCAGCTCCATGAAGCCAGCTCCGACCTGTCGCATGGAGTTGTGATACTCCTTATTGGATGGGTAGAAGGGGCACGAAGGGTCGGCGGAGCTGGCATCCCCAAACTCAAGGCAGAGGCCGTACAGACGGCTGACGCCGCACTCCCCAGAATAGTACCGGCCGAGGGCGTAGTCGTTGCTGCCGCCCGACGTCGGGTACAGGCCGACGCTGGGCTGGGCGGTATACTTGAGGGTTCCGGCGCCGTTCATGGCGGACAGCATCAAGCTGTTGAGCGACTCCTCGGCCTTGAGATCCTCGGGGGCAAGGTACTCCTTGTACTCGCTGCCAGCGGGGTCCTCACCAGTGAACCCGCGGTGGCCATCATACTGCTTGTTGAGGAAGTTCTGCTTGGTATCCTCGGTGCCATAGTCGTCATCGCCCCAGGCGTAAAGGATATCGGCGGAGTAGGAGTGAAGGTCGAGGAACCAGGACAGGCCCTTGTACTGGTCCATGACCCAGGTAACGGCCTGGACTTCGGGTTCAGAAGCCGGGCCAGTGCCATAGAAAACCTCACTCGACGGGTCATCGGACGCGGGAGGGGAAGAGAGGTCGGAGCTAAATAGGGTCTTGTAGTCCCACGTGAAGTTGAAGTTGCGGTTCAGGTCGACGCCAATGTCCTGGCTATCCGAGCCGCCCGAGGACGATGCCGTGTTACGGTTCTTGCGCCAGCAGGTACTGGTCTCCTGGTCATAAGCAACACCATCCGGGTTGGTGAGGGGGACAAAGACGACACCGGCGGAGAGGGCCGTCTTGACCTCCTCAGCCGTGTATGTCTTGTCGCCATAAGCGACACCCTTGCCGTTCTTCTGCGCCTCGAGAAGGTCGGAGATGAAGTAAATCAGGTGGTCTGGCCCGCCTCGCTCACGGGCGTGGATGCCGCTCATCAGGAACACCCGGGGATCTTCACCAATCACGGCACCTTGCAGGGTCCTGCCCCCCTCGGTCTTGAACGGTGGCGTGAACAGTTTGACAGCATCGGGGAAAGCAGCAGAGAGGCCGCGTACGGCGGATCCGACCTCCTGGACACTGAGGATAGATTCGAGATCTCGGTCTTGAACACCCAGACCGACGGGGGCGACGGTGCCGTTCTTGAAGCGATCTCCCGTGCCAATGGGGACGGTGTTTGACTGGCTAAGACCTCTGGGCTGGTACTGGGAACGAGGATGGACTTGGCGGGTTCCATGGCGGGCATACTCGCGCTCGGCGAGAGCCTCGTGGGGCAACAGGCATGCCTGAGCTGTGAGGGAGAGGCCGAGGACGGCGGCGGATACGGAGGAGGAGACCTTCATTACGACAATGGCAGCATCTATGGAGGATTTACTACTGAGCCAGGCATACGCACAAAGTGGGAAATAAGAAGCATATATAGATGGAGCTGTCAGAAGTGGGTGACGAGCATGGGGCAGATGAAGGGGTGGCAAGCAAGAAAGATCAAGCTACTTCGTACATAAAATATCCAGCAGCCTCTCACGAACTAACAGCTGGAGCTGACCAGATGAGGACATGCTTTACACCCATTGGCCCATGCTCAGCGCTCGGGAGTGCCATATGTGGCAGGACGAAACCAGGCACGGGTTTTGGCTTCTGACGATCGGCGCGGCCTCCATGCACTGCCAAACAAACAAAGGTTCCAGCGTCCAGGGGCTTTTTCCAACCTGCGTGATCGCCCCGAGCTACCGGGATGGTGATTCGCGTCACGGCGAGGCGGTGGTCCTGCCTACGTACTCCTGGCCCCATTGAGCCCCCATTGAGGAGTCGCGGTGGACTAAGGACGGGAAGGGTGTTTGATGATTGGAGGTGAGCGTCTGAGCTTGGGCGGATGCATGGCGGATGAAGCGACTAATCAACGAATTGCGAGGATGTGACAGCGCACAAGACCCTGGATAACAAACAGCCTTCACGGCATCATGGTATTTCGCACCGTGGCCTAAGGGTGCACATCATGACGGCGGGTCAGGTGGCGGTGGAAACCAGTGTGAAACAAAGGCATACGTCTGCCCACCTGCCACAAGCCGGGCTGTTGTGGAGAAGTAAAACGTGCTACGGCGTTATTATTTGAGGGGAGGACGTTATTGAAGCTCCAAAGCGAACTAGCCATGAGAGGCCCGGACCCTGCTAGCAGAGGATTGAAGAAAGAAGAAGGAGAGGGCGAGGGATCAATAGAATGAATCGAAGGCAAGAGAAGGGAGCGGCTGGATCTTTTGGGCTCCCTTGCATCAGTGGTGCTGTTATTTGTAAAGAAAAGAAAACTTTGGATGAACCCCTGGCCGGTTTTCGACAATGCTCGTGGTGATGAAGCTAATAAGGTGCCTGTTAGTGGACCTGAGTTAGGATGAGCCACTGCTGGCGCAATCCCCTGTCAGCTCTCGTCTTTGTCTTTCTTCATGGTGACTACTATCATTCTCATTAATATGCATAGTAACAACACTGCTATCTCTTGGGGAAACTTCCCAGAACCGCGCCCATGAAGAACCAAATCCCAGAGGCTTGGTAAGTACAGGGCCTCGCTTTGTGATGTTGAGCCCATGTACCGCAGCAAAGAATGAACAGAAAATAAGACCAAAGAGACGGCATATACGATACATCCAACAGGCAACAGCCATCCAAATTGAAGCGCGCGGTTTTGTATCAGTGCTTTCCTCTCTCTTAGTCGTCGAGAAATCAGGTGCCTGATAGCTCTTACACGAAATTCAAGACAGAGCTCAACTCCACTTTAAGCCCATAACACTTAACCATAACTTCCACCATCAAATCCTACCATCATGCATCCTACCTATCCAGCATGTCGTTTTACAAGCAAGGCAGGAGGATTGTGGCCACGACGGCATTCTCCAATCAGTTCTTCCTAGTTTTCCCAGAGGACTAGCTTTATTTAGCGACCCAATTCCTTGTAATTTTTGCTTCTCGATCCTGATTCGGAGTTATGCGATAGCGCTGACGTCTATACGAGACCTGCATGCCTCCCAAATTGTTGGCTCGTCTAGCAACATCGCCAACCCCGCCTACTCAATAGCCCAGGGCCTCGGTGCAAAGAGTATTTAATTCTCCTCGTGGAACCTGGAGTGATTGTCACCAAACCACTGCTGCTGTCCTACTTTCACACTCACAATGGTTTCGAATCGGGCCCTAGGGGCTCTGCCCTTCCTGCTCATCCCTCCATTCATGGCCTACATATTCTCATTCGCCCCGGTCATTACCGTCGCTTTCGAGTCCATGCTTGAAGATGGGCAATATTCTCTCAACGGCGTACAAGCACCTCTCAGGAAAACATTCTACGGCATCGACTTCCTTGATCAGATACTCTCCCGCGTCTGTGTCGGATTTGCCCAGCTGTTATTATTTCCTGCTGATCCAAAGGGCTACTGGCAGCTCTTCTTGTTCTTGACAGAATTTGCTGGTCTGTATGGCATCTTTATTCTTGAAAGTTGCAGGGGAGCTCATCGACGTTCCATCATTCTGTTGTGAGTATCTCCATCCGCGCGCTGTGCGTTCAAATATTCACTGACATGGTCAGCCCCTTCTGGGTCGCCTTCTTTGGATAGTTCATGACCGTCGGGATCCTCAGTCCCATCTATTTCTTCATCCTTTATGTTAAGTCGCCACTCTCCAAGTTGAAGACACCCACAGCCCGGTCCATCCCGGCGTCAGATGCTGTGGCTGTTCTGCCAACCGTCGCCCTAGCATACTATTCCTCGCAGCTCCCCTCGCAGCTCCACGCCAACTATGAAGCACGGCTATGGTACACCTGGGTCTGGCAGATTTATCCCGTCTGGGGTTCTGCCATCTTCTTTGTGTTGTCCAAGACACTGGGTCCTGCATTGGCGCCGAAGCAAGCCATGAGTGTACTGAAGCCTACGTTTGCCTTCTTCATTGCTTCGAACATTATTTCTTACTGGTACATGTTGTTGACCTCGGGAATCTCCTTCTTCGACATTATGGTACCAATTTATTTCATTGAAGCACCGCCATCCGCAGAGGAGGTTCTCAGGACAATTGTTCAGTATGATTATGTCTTCACATTTGGGGCGATGGCCCTCTGGCTGGCATACTCTTTCTGTGATCTCAAGGCTGCAGGCATTATGAAGACGTCCTGGGTCACAATTCTCGTTGTTGCTCTCGCCACATCTTGCTCGGCTGGGTTGGGAACAACACTGCTGGCGGGGTGGCTTTGGCGCGAACAGCTACTGTCCACGCAAGATGATCGCAAGACAAAGTAAATATATGTCAATTCGAATTGTCAAGTAGATATATGTAGATCTCTTTGGTCTGAGGCATAGCATTTCATCGGGATATATGTACCTTGTTTCACTACATCCTCCTAGTCGCTTGATAGGTTTTGTTTTTGAAGTTGTGATCACTCTAAGATTGGTCTATTAAATACATCTGATTAGACTTATATAGCCTTGGACTACGTTCTCTAGTAATTGAATTCTAAAATGATCCGTTTGATACTGCCCATCTCCCCGTATCGGACTGACTTGCCTCTCCCTCTCATCCTGTTTGGGACTAGCAATGCCCGTCAATTCATAAAACAAATACAGCAAAGGTACTTCAGATGTATCTCAAGGGCAATTGAGCTATCTTCTAGTTCTCTCGTTTCTCTTCTTCACTCATCTGCGTCCGGGATCGGGCGTTGACCTCTTCAAAGGGTACAGGGTAGCCGGGAGCGAGAGCTCGGCACAAGATGATAAAACAGCGAATCAGCATCCTGCTCAATCCGCTGACTAACTGCAACGCGGAACTCTTTCACGTGACTTTCCTCCCTCAACCTTGGCAAGAGCTCCACGCTAGCTCCGTGAACCCGTCGGTGCCAGCGAGAAATTTATCATCATTGAGCAAGACCATCCCACGGCTTTGCCAATTGACATCCCGCCACCCCCCTTCCACCATCTCCAGATACATCTTCAGGCTCAAGCCCGCCTCACAGCAAAAATGTTCCGTACCGCGCTCCTCCGTTCGGCCCCCCGCGCCGCTTCCGCCGTCCGCCCTGCGCGCCGAACCCTCGCCAACATCGCCAAGCCCATCCGTGCCTCCGTCGCCATGGCCCCCCGAGTTCAGAGCTTCCAGGCCGTAAGGATGTACAGCGCTGGTGGCAGCCTGAACAAGGAGGAGGTCGAGGGAAGAATTTTCAGCCTGCTGCAGGGCTTTGACAAGGTATGTTCTTTTCCTTGCCTGCATATCTGGATTGCGAGGCTGCCCCTCGGTGTTTTCGACGCTCGGCGTCGGCATATCGGGAATTGGGTCAAGGCCACCTAGCAATTGGGATTGGGTGCCACAGATATCAGGTCGCAACTTCTCATTTTAGAAGATGATGTTAACCAGCCCGCCTTAGGTCAACGACACCGCCAACGTACGTATCTTCGGCTCATGTCCTCGAACCTGAAACTCACCCCGTTGATTAGATCAAGTCCACTGCCCACTTCGCCAACGACCTCGGTCTCGACAGCCTCGATACCGTCGAGGTCGTCATGGCCATCGAGGAGGAGTTCAGCATCGAGATCCCCGACAAGGACGCCGACTCTATCCACTCAAGTAAGAGCCCCACTTCGCTGTTCATGAGATATTATGGATTGCCGGTCCATATCAAAGTCCAAGCGCTGACATGACATTCCCCCGCCATTAGTTGAGCAGGCCGTCACCTACATCCTCAACCAGCCCGATGCCTCCTAAATGCGCAATCTCGGAAGCATTCCGCAACTCAATTAGCCAACTCCCCCCACCTGGACTCCTTCTCTGTATGATCGCACGCCAAAACACACATCCATGAAAGTTTTTAGATCGACACCGACCGATGGGGGCTTCTTGTTTCTAAGTGCGTTTTGGGGAAACCTTAGATGTCTGGTTTATGGGGGAGGGGCCTTGGGTACTTTCTCTTCCCCATTGTCGGCGCAATCGAGCCAATGGGGGTGGGAATTCAAAAAAAAAAAAAGACTACATGTTGAAAACTGTTCTAATCTTTGGGTGAGAAGGGGAGATGGGCGATTTTGGCTTGCCAGGTCGGGAGGGGGAGCATGAATAAAGGAAAGGAGACACACAAGGAATCTTCTCTTGGAGTCGTCGACTTTTGGGTCTTTGAGCAAGAAAGCACCCTATGTACTAGTGTATAGAACCAACCCAATTTTTTTTTCCAACTGGTCATGTTTTCGTGATACTCTACTACTGTTCAGAGGTACCCATCTAGTGGAACTACGATCATGCAGCGTATCAAAGTCACTCGCACAGACGATAAGGTATCATTGTCAGTAGTTGTTCATCTTAAATTATGGGTTTGCGTTCCCTTTCCTATGTATGTATCACAGACTGCCCAGTCCTCCTCTCTAGAAAATATCAATGGTAGCTGTCGACGAGCCATATCTTTTCTCTTCTCTTGCTCCTGTATGCGATTTTTTTGACTCCTGTATCTCAGCAAGGAAAGGACATCCACCGTCTCCGAATCGCCAGAGCCATGAGAAACAAGAAAAAAAAAGGAGAAGTACTTCTTGGGGTAAGAGTCGGAACAGATTCCCCCCACCTTCCCTAGGGCAGGCTCAGGGCTGCTGCCAGCACTTGAAGTGAAATGGAGGGGAGGTAGCTGGAAGTAACGTATAAACAAACTGAAGAATATGGCACAGGATAAAAGTGAGGAAGAAAAATGACCGACGATAGAAGGAGAGACCGAGATTCAGGGAAGAATCTATCATGTTGTCGGCACGGTAGAAAGCAAGGAAACACAGAAATAAGAAGAGGTTCCTTGGGGGGCCAATTCAACTGCCTGCCTGTTTCAAGGCCAAAAAGTACATACCGCCCTTGACCAAACGCCTCCCCCTTGAAGAAAGCATCGATGCTCATAAAAACAAAACTAATCAGATTGAACCCCGTAAATCCATTGAACCATAGATAATCCGCGTCAACACCAGGTTGGGGGGTGGAGAAAGTGAAATAAAACACAGTGGAAGACTCCAATACCAATGTATCTCGTGTCCATAGCCTCGTTTTTTTTCTTGCTGTAGTAGTCGTGTTGCCAAGCCGATGAAACTGGCCTGCTTGAGGTATGCGTAGCAAAAATCCATCTTTAAATAGCTGACCAAACCCGGGCCTCTTTTTTGTGCGCCCTTTTCCAAGATGCAAGATGCGTGCGTAAAATCATTTAATATCATTGTGGAATAGTGAGATGTTTTTTTTCCAGGAGTAACCAAAGGCAACTCCGTTTATTGAACAAGTCCTTTGTGGCTTATTGTCCATTTATGGCAACAGAGTCACGGCCCTCCTTGGAGCCATTTGCAGTGCCTTTCCCAGAAACGGCGCTGGCATAACTGCCCCAACCGCCCATAGCAAGGCCAGCAGAGCCTCGCTTCCGTGCTCGGCTTAGAGTTGGGTCCTCTTCTTCCTCCATGCTGAAGACAAACGCAGGGTCCTCTTCATCAATGGGAGTAGTAAAACGGCCAGTAACCGAGGAACTGATGCTTCCACTAGAGACATGACGTTCGAGATGGCGATCCTTGGAGAGAGAGCTGATCGTGTTGCGTGCAGCTGCAGGGTGAAGAAGAGGGCTGGAGGCGCCGGGAGCATCGTCGATGCGGCTGCGCTGCAGTTGTTGGGATAGAACGGACATGGATTCGCTACCTGATCTGCTGGCAAACGGACGAGTGGTACTGCCCAATCCATCCATCTCTTGAGCCAGTGTTGAGTTTCTCAATGGACTTCCGACGTGCCCAAATACCGATGGTGCGGCTCGTGCTGACCTAGAAAGGTCATCGTCTTCCTTTCCACGGGGGAAAACGCCCCATCGTCCTGGGCTTGTACCGATAGGGCTTCCATACTTGGTTACACCATCAATGCTAACGTCTCCTTCAACGCGGATAGAGCCGCGACGAGCCTTCTCGGCAGGCGTAAGCAAATCCTGGAGATTTTCAGGAACATAGTTCTCTGGAAGGTTGTCATCATCCACATCGTCTTCGAATGCAAATTCGGCCTGCCAATCATAATCAACGGCAGAGGCCTTTGGCAGACTGGAGCTGAGCATGCGAGGCCTCGTGTATCGCGCCGAATGCATAGTTCGTTTTCCGAAATACTCCTCTGTCCCGCTTCCGTATTGCGAATTGGTAAGACTTCCAGCAAGAGGCGTTGCCAGATGCTCAGATGAACCGAATGCTTGTGTGTGAAGAAGTCGAAGAGTTTCCGAAGTAGGCGAGTCCTTGGCAGCAATGCTCAGCGAGGGTGAGTGCGATTCCAGACCAAATTTGGAGGGAACAGAGGACGGCCATGGGCCACCGGGGTAGAGAGCAGCATTGGATATGCCGTTGGAATCGAATGAAGCGGGGAGGGGGGCATCCATGACAGATAAGCCCTTGCCGTTGGAAGGAGACAGGCCCAGTCCGAATCGAGTATCTTCGTCACGAGGCGAGCCATACGCTGAGCTCGTGTGGGAGTAAGGCGCATCGATGATTGGAAGTCCATTCTCGAGGCTAGGTTGCTGGCGAAGATTGTGTTGATTGTGGCGGTCGTCGAAGGGGAAGGTAGAGAGAGACGACTGATCGGCACGGTAGAGCGAGTTGGTTAGAGCACTTGCGGATGCTTGGCTTCGGTTGTGGTCGGCACCATTCGCGGCGGGGCTGCTGGAGGTAGGCGAGGTTGGAGGCTGAGCGGAGCGGGCACCTAGGTTAATGGGACCGTTTCCGATCGTGACGCCATTTTTGCTGTAGTTGATGCGCCGGCCATCGGGCAAGATATGGATATTGGCGCATTTGGGCCCGAACTTGCAGTTTCCCTGTGATGCAGTGTTAGTCAATCCGTGTGGGAAACGTAAGCCGGAATATGTCTTCAAGTGCACGAGGGAATATGGGGATTGGGTGTGAACATGAGTGGTGGGCTTACCTTGGCGAAGTACTTGCAGATGTTGTCGGAGGCGGCACCAAGATCGTGACTGAATGGGCAGGCATTGCCAGCCTGACAAGCTCCCTGCCGGAAGAACTTGCAGGGAACGTGGGATGTGTCTATCCAGGCGGTTAGTTGGAACGACGAGTCGGAGGAGTGCGCCACGGTGGTAGGCCCCAGAGGCGGCTTTGGAGTTTTTGGAGAGGGCGGAAAACTTACTTGGAGGGCTTCGAGGCCCTTCGAAGCGGGCAGCGGCGGCTGCATTGGAGCTTCCATGAGCGCCGTTGGAGGCACCCATACTGCCGTTCCGCGAGTGACGATTCTGCATCGCGACGACGAAGGACGGAACGAGTGACGGAGGATG